ATCAAAATTACTTTGTATGTTGGATAGTCAACATACTGAAAGAAAACAATTTCCTGAGAAAAACCTTTAATTAAAAAATTTTAATACTTAATTTACAAACCTGATATTTTGTGTGCAAAAGCCTTGTAACGTTCTACCAATAACCTGCAAAAATATGTGAAGATACACTTAAATTATCAAAAATTATAGTATAATTACTCTCATGGATACATTCGTGGTTACGAGCTGCGTGGATTCTACCTAGTCCGTATTCATAGGGTTAAATGACGGTGTTCATAAGTATTTTGCTTTTTTGCCAGATTGATAATGATGAATATCATGTGTTAAAAAAACATTGTATTAATATATGATGACAAAAACCATCAGTATTTAAAGTAAATTATCAATGTATTGTTGTATTTTCTTTTATGGATCTTTAGAGTTCTCTCTATTATGAGTAGCACAAAAGTTTAAATATGTTTTAACATGTGATAATAACTACCAAAAGGAAACTATTATAACCATCTGTTCATGTAGTGATCATTGGAATATAATGACCATTTACCTCTAATGAGGGCTGATCTAGTAGGCAGTGTACTTGGAGTGTGAATTTGAGAATTTGTAGTTCACAGAAACCAATGCCACAAAAAAGGCACTCCAACCATTGGGGCTATGGATACACTGTAACAGTGGCAGTCACATCCCACTATTTGGTCAGAGAAAAGTATTCCAAGAGTTGACAGTAGGTGCTGCAACTTTTTAACTTCCCTGTAGTCTATTTGTTCATAGATAACTCTGCATAGATAACCTTTGTGTAGCTTTGCGAGAAAATTCGGAAACAAAAACATGCCTCTAATGGCTCTTTTTATTTTATTCTTGTTAATTCTAATCCTTTAAGCTATATTGGATAAATATTTGTGGTTTTCTGTTACAATTTGCTGTCAACCAACTCTGTATAGAGTTATTGTAGAGAAAATAAAAGATAATAAATATAATTTTTCTGAAAAAAAAGTTTATTTATTTAGGAGGTTTTAAAGATTGTGACAATTATCAGTTGAAGAAAAGTATTTTTAATTGAAACATGAAAATCACTTTGCACTCAAAGCAGTCAACACTTTGAGTGAGTTTGACTCCATATGTTCATGGAGAAATATTTAGTAAACATACTTAGTTGAAAAATGATTTTTTGTGTACAAAACACTTGTAATGTTTACTGATAGTTTGGGATATGCTTACATTATCAAAAGTTATAGTATGACTAACATCATGGTTACTTTGGTGGTTACATAGAAGGTGCAATGCACCTAGTTCAGATAAAAAGAGTTAAGATGAGAAATAATGTACTCACCATGCATATAGCATAATTTGGTTTATTACTTTATCGCTAAATTTTAGTTTTAGCAACAGATTCATTTCCATGGAATTTTGATAAATTAAATCATCTCGGTATATTGTTTGTTTTTCTTTGTGGCTCATATTGAATTGATAACTTCTAAATTAAGTTTTTCATTGGATTTCATTTTATTTGGCATTCTGTATTTTAGATAATAATCCTGTTAAGTTTGATGTACAGGTATTTAGAAATCATGTATTTGCATTCTATTTCTTTTCCGATAGATTCTATATATTCCTAAAAAAACAGATGAGAATGGAAAGAATTTCATATCAGTAGAAGAAAAAGGATTAGAACCCTCCAACACAGAAGGAAAATGTGTGAGTAAATGTCTATCTCAAAGTCTTGAGTAAATTTTGTAAACTTACCAAACTAACCCTTACATGTTTATTTCTTCCACATTAATCATATGCACGTGTTTTTCACATGGTAATAGTATGCTTCCTTCACCTGCGTGATTAAATTTAGTATTTGATAATAATAATAATAAAAAAGAAGAAGCCATAACTGTAAATCACAGAATGTGTTTTATGTTTGTGTCTTGTCATTGCAGGCAACTGAGTTTGTTGCAAAATCAAGCCCCAAGCCAGGCCATGTAAAAAGAATGAAGTCACCCACAGATGAAACGGAAACCTCCACAGCAGAAACTACTTCAGTTGTAGACAAAGACAGAAAAGTTGCAGACTTTGATAATTCTAGGCCTTCTACTTCTGTGGATACGAATGATTTGGATAAAGAGTGTTTGGAAAAATTCTTGAAAATTGATGCTCGATACATAACAGATGGAGAGGTAATTTTTATTTTGCTTTCTTATCAAAAAGTTAATCAACAGTAATATTTTACTAATGCTAGATCAGACACAATATTACTTTCAGCTTGCTGTATATTAAATTTCATTGTTCTAAAAGATGTTATAGATTCATGAAAATGAAAATCTATACAATTTAGCTTTACAGTCAAAATATTCTTTGGCAAAGCTGTTGCGATGACACCCCTTAACTATTAAACAGGGGATAACTTAGAATGAAGTTGAGAAAATTGGATTCTATATCACTTAGTGGGTTGATGAAGTGTTTAAATAAAATTCTACTCAACACTTTTTTTTTGGACTCGACTGTCCGCAATTTGAAGATTTGTGAAATTACTTATAGTTTCATATCAAAATGTGTTCAGAATGGCTGTTATACAGCATATAAACTATTTTAGAGCTATAAAGTAATGAAAAGTATATTTCCAAATTGGGAGTAGACCTTTTTATTCAGAATCTAAACAAAATAGGGAAACTCCAGAGCAGATGATGTTTGCTGTAGCTTTGTTTCGGTAGATTTTGTACATTAATTGAGAATGACAGAAAGCATACTGGACACCTGTAACATTTCTGCCATGTCCAAATAAAACCTATGATTGTCTCTGTATCTTTCATAAAATGTAGTTTCTCTAGTTAAGATAATTTTCATTTATAATCACTTGTACTTAATGTATATTCACACAACGAATAATGTATGCACATTATTAACGTGTTTATCCTTTTATTTACTGCTGTGATGCCTCCTTATTTCATGTTTTGTTTAATGATGTGTCTTATTCATTTATCATAAAACAAAATCTGGATATAACTTTCAGTCAATAAAGTTATGTTATTGCTAATTAATTTTGTTTAATACAAAAAAATCTAAAACAGTAAACTTAACTAATTATTTGTAAAAAAAAATGCTTTGTGGCTGTTTTATTAGGTTTCTTTTAAATCTTAATATTTCAGTATTTATTTGTTAGCATAAAATTTCTTTTCACAGTTGGAAAGATTCTTCAGTTTTTAAGCTTCAGTGTTTTTATTTCACAACTGAAACAAACTTATTTTTACAATAATTCAGCAGGTTACTGATATATTTACCACAAAAAAAGTATTTCTCATAAATATATATAAATGTAGTTATAAGTTTTGAATTATTGACTAAGATAGCTATTCTTATATACATCAGTACTGTGATAAAAAACTGTGAGTGAATTAATAATTTGAACTGTTGAAACAGTTCTGTACTTGTATGAAATAGCTTTATTTGTTTATTTATCAACAGGGTGTGGTGAGTGGAATTCTACTAGTCACACCCAATGCACTGATGTTTGAACCAAATGTCTCAGATCCACTAGTTTTAGAGCATGGAGCTGAGAAGTTTAGTGTGATTGCACCAATGGAAATGGTTTTTAGAGAATCTGTTTATTGTGACATTTCCCATATGAAGTTGAAATGTGATCCTCAGTGGTCGTAAGTTTTAACACTGATATTTTGATTTATATAATAAACTTAGAGTGCAAAATCCTACCACTGTAACTCTCTGAAAGTTAGATGTTTTTCTTGATTGACATTATGTACTCTTCTTAGCATACATAAACTAATAATTATATGTCATATTCTTCTGTAGTGAGTCTATGCATGGAGCAACTGGTTGACATTCAGACATAAAACTTATTGACCAAACTAAGCTTAATGGCCAGTCATGTCTTAATAATAAAAATCTCTTTTTTTTTTGCCCCCCCAGTGGCATAGCGGTATGTCTGCGGACTTATACCACTAGAAACCGGGCAGAGCACAGATAGCCCTTTGTGTAGCTTTGTGCTTAACAACAATAAAATCTCTTTTAAATACAATTACCTGATTTTGCTTTAGTTTGATCAGCAAGTTTCATGCTCTATATGCTCTATATCTGAAGAGAAAAAAAAAGCTGGCTATAAAATGTGCCAAGCCATACGATTTGTAAAAACACTATGTTTCCACCCTAAAACAAGCTCTAAATATCCTCTTCTTGTTTATGGGAACATAAAAGGTGAAGTAAAAATTCATGGACTTAAATTCGTAAAAATTAGAAAATGGAATGATAATTAAAAACTTTTATTTGTGAAATGTGAAAATAAGTTTGAAATATATAAATGTGTGTGTGTGTGTGTAGGTTTAACCAGAACACAAGTTTTCACCCTTTAGATATAACAAAACATTATATTTCTTAAACTCTTCTCTTTCTTTCTCTTCTTTATTATATTATTTTCTGCAGGTTTTGTGATGTCAAAGGTCACTCTTCAGAATTTAATTTTATAATTAATCTCTAGTGAACATAAATAACCTGAATTCAAATTCGATGACGACGAACCCACTTTGAGACTAATAATGGTTGGAGCCAGCTTGAATGGGTAATGAAGAAAAACTCTAATATAAGTTTAACATAACTGCAAATGCACAATGTTTTGACAAGGTTTTGTCATCATCATCAACCTTGTCGAAACGTTGCACATTTGCTGTTATGTTAAACTTATATTAAATTTTTTCTTCATTACCCATTCAAGCCGTCTCCAACCATTATAAATAACCTGAATCAAATACATATGTTTAAATATGTACAAACATAGAGTACAATCAAAAATAAATTATTTTAAGTATATTTTGATGTATGTAGTTCATATAAAGATTTTATCATTACTAGTAGAGTTGCTTTTGATCTATTGTTTGGTACAGAATAATGAATATTTACAAATTCACCTTTTTAGCAGTGCAAAGAGAAAATATATGACTCATTTTGTAGTTCAGTCAGGTATACTATGATGGAATTAATCCAAAAGCTGATTTATACTATTAAAAACACTATTTCTTGTTCTCCCACTTGCTCACTGGTAAATCTGCAGACTTATAATGCTAAAAATTGAGTGTTGATACTCTTAATCTGCACAATACAGATAGTCTTTTGTGTACTTTGTTCTCAATTACAGACAAACAAAACCATTTCTTCAACTTGAATTAATCAAAAACATATTTATACTGTTAATTTATTAACTTAAATAATGTATAACTTCTGGGTGTGATAACTTGAGAGGTTTTAAATTTGTAATAACTCCTGAAGTATAATTAGATTGTATGCAGAAGATGAGAGCTTACTAATAATAAAACAAATCATTATGGATGCTTTGAAATTAACAGGCTTTCTCTTGAGAAACATGTAATTGTTATTTATTGATTTTTTTTCTTATAGACAGTTTTTACCAAAAGCACCCTTATACCATTCTAAAGGTCCACAAGGGCCAGAAACATGCACAAGAAAAAGTAAACTAAGTAGAGATTTGGACACAGTGGGGATTGGAGTGAAAGAAGTTGAAGGTGAAATGACTGAGACTACTGACGTTTTAAATGTGACAAAATCGAATATTGAACGAGGAAATTTAGTAGCGCAAGCTACCAAGAATGTTCCAGAATGCACTGTATTTAAGGACTTTAAACAAGAACTTGATAAATCAGTTCCTATCACACCATTTAAATCTAGTTTTATAGAAAGAAAGAGATCAGGGAGTGTTGATTCTTATCAGCATTTAAAAAACTTTGAAGAACCTGGTAGTTTTATAGAATTATTCAAAGAACCTAACAAAAAGAATTCTTTTTATGATGTAGAAAGTAAAGCTGTGACAGATAACTTGCTAAAACAAGATGACATTAATGATGGTAGTGCTGCTTCAGCCTTGATCAAGGGGGATAAACATGTATCAACCATTTATCGACCTCCTCAACCTTGCTTCAAGACAGAGAGTAGGAAAGAAAATTTCATGAGGCGATTCTCATACCCACTAAGATCTTTATCATCTTACACAAAGTCTGTTTCTAACTTTGTTTTTTCCTCAATAGAGGATATTAATAATTTTTCACATGGCTTATTCAATAATGAAACAAAGTTGAAAGATGCATCAACATTGAGTCCTGTGGAATCAGTTTCTGTTGAAGGAAAAGATGGTGAAATCAGTGTTCGGGTAGAAGATGACCAGGTGACAGACAATCAATGTCAACAACGTTTGAATATTCCAGTTGTTGACTACAAAAACATGGTAGAAGACAAGCCTGAACTTTTCTGTTCTATTGATCGTAAGTGTTAAAGTTTTATGAACTTGAGTTTTAATTTTCTATTAATTGTAAAAAATAATATGCTTTATTTTTAGACAGCAGTTTCATTAGGTTTTTAATGTTACAATATGGAAATAAATAGCATACCATTAAATTCTAGACTTCTATTCTGACTTAACAAAAATTACATGAAAATCACTAAAAAAAACTTTATTAGAAATTATAAAGGGTTGATGGTGTACTTGAAAACTAATTTAATTTTAAGTCTCAAAAGTTAAATTATTAGAATGCTTTCACAATAAATTACATAGTAAAAAAATTAAATGTGTGCATGTGTTATATATACACAATGAAAGTTAAATTATTAGAATGCTTTCACAATAAATTACATAGTAAAAAATTAAATGTGTGCATGAGTATATATACACAATGAAAGTTAAATTATTATAATGCTTTGACAATAAATTACATAGTAAAAAATTAAATGTGTACATGAGTATATATACACAATGAAAGTTAAATTATTAGAATGCTTTGACAATAAATTACATAGTAAAAAATTAAATGTGTGCATGAGTATATATACACAATGAAAGTTAAATTATTAGAATGCTTTCACAATAAATTACATAGTAAAAAAATTAAATGTGTGCATGAGTATATATATATACACAATGAAAGTTAAATTATTAGAATGCTTTCACAATAAATTACATAGTAAAAAATTAAATGTGTGCATGTGTATTATATATATACACAATGAAAGAGGGTTAAAATATTTGCATTTTCAAGAAAAAGTTCAGTTTTGATAAAACAAAAAGTGTATGAAATAACTTGATGAACAGGTAATAACAAAAATGGTGGTACTAACTTAACAGACAAAAGTCATAAATTGTACAGAAAGGACTGCTTATTACTTTATAAAATATGAATTTCTTTTAACAAGAGCAATGTGAATGGTATATATTTCTGGATTCTACACATATATGTATGCTGCTGATATTTTCCTTGTTCAACAGCTATAAATTAAATGGCATGATATTAATTACTGATGAAGGGAGCATTTGTCAATAATGGAATTGAAGCTTGTCTTATTAGTGGTTTAAAGAATTGAGTATGAAGTGCAGTATAGAGAAATAATGTTTATGGTAAAAAATAGTAATTGATTATACATAGATTTTTTTACATAAAAAATGGCAGCTTGTTTATTAAAAGTAATTATCCATTTTTTAGTTTTAAATAACTTGCAAGATAACTAGTTTTCTAATGTTTTTGATTCATCTCAAGTCAACCCTGAGTAACAGTTGATTAGACTAATGCTGTTGGTTTTTGTATCTGCAGACTTAGGTTCATCATTAAAAAAGTATGTTGCCTTTCTTTTGTGTGACTGTAAACAAAAATCTGACGCTCAAAACTTTCTGTGGTAACATGTTAAAAATTATAAACTTTGTTACCAACTTTCACCAAAAGCCTGATTTAAACGTGTTTTGTATTTATTACTTGTACTGAATATATGTTTATATAGAAGTCTGCATAATTTAATTAAAGAAATAAACTGAATATCTCTAAGGAACTGATTTTGTAATGCTGTAAACTGAGGAGACTTGTTCAATTTATGCAAGTAATATTCTTCCTGTATATATATATATATATATATATATATTAACAGGTTTAGTTTGTGTGTGAACATAACTCTTTATTTTCATATGTTTGTACATAACACCCACATTTAATGGATAATTGTGTATTATTCACCTAGATGCTAAGTAAATGCAAAGCAATGTGTCAAATGATTTTATCCAGTTTCTGTGCTTCCTGTGCTATTTAGCTTTAATGACACAAAATTCTTCAGTAAAATCAAACGTATTTTGAATGTAAATCTTTTCAATGTGGTAATTCATGTACAGAAAATGATTGGGTTATTATTGCTTATGTTCCAAGTGCTGGTTAATAATTTAAAATTTCTCTCTTCTTTTCAGCTTCCAAGGCTTTACCATATAATGCTCTAAACAAAACTCTCAGCTTTTACATGTCTTTTGTTCTGTAGTTTGAAACTCACTTTAAAAAACCTGGTTCAAGTAGTCAACCTTCGGGAAATCAAATATTGTATAGCATATTATTGTTCAAGAAATGTTTCCTGGTGTTGTTTTAACAGTTTCTTGCTAATTTCACTATCAGTATTTATTAGTATTAAAAACAATTGTCCTGAAATTTTATTGGGAACTTATTTTTCTAATTGTTGCCACCTCTTTCTTTTTTTTTTTATTAGATACATCAAAAATTAATTTAGTATACACATAAATTATGATAATTTTTTTTATTATTGTAGAGTTGGTACCTTGCAAGGTTAAACCTCCAGATGCTTTTCCTCTCTATTTATGCTTGAAAATGGGTTGGCCATGTAATAGAAAAACAAACCAGTCATTGTCACTTATTTTACATGAAAAGAAAAGAATCAGAAGTGAATATTGGTTTAGCATTCCTCAGAAAAGGTAAAATATTATTTTTTTTCACTGTATCTCTTCTTTTGCACTGTCTCAGTCTAATGCCTTTCATAGCTTTAAGAAATATTTAGATCATCTATTATCTCTTCCATCACGCTGTGTTAAATCCTATTAGCAGATCAAATTTCCATGACTTTAAAAAACTTTTAAATACTTATATATTGTTTGATTTTGGATCTTCTATAATAAAAATGCATTATCAAATTTTTTATCTTTCGGTAGTAGTTAATCAGGGTCTTCTTCACACGCTAACCACAATTTCTCATGTTACTTTGGCTATGAAACCAAGAAGACATCCGTTGAATCCTAGCTAGTAATCTTTGCACGTCATCTTTGTTTTGTCCTAGTTTACAACTTCAATTTATTTTTTTTTATTAACCAAGTTTTACTGTTTTTTTGTTTGATTGATAAGTATGAAGTAATTATATTTTTTCAAGGTCGAGTTACTGACATCTTTTATATTTAAATTCATACAATTAACATAACAGTAACATACTGTAATGAGTTAAGTTTCACAAACTCCAAACAACTTGATATTTAAGTTTCACCTTGAAAGGGAATCTCATGTTAGGTATTCTTCTATCTATCCAATTGAAATTCCTGCAGCTTGATGTACAATTTTGGTACACAAGTGATGAAGCTACCTGCCATGCATATAGCACTCAGCATTTCAACCCGTCTCTTCTTGGGGTTGTTCATATTCTTGTATAGCTAGAATTAATTTTATCCCTTTCTGGATTTTTTTGTTTAATTGGAACAGTATTAAAAAAAGGTTCAAGTGGTAAATGTCATTCGTTTGTCCCTTTATTTTACCACTGTATATATGTATTTGGTTATTGGCTAGAGATCATTCAGTTTTAAACTGTCATTCTTACCTCATGTTCTGGAGCTGGTGTCTTAATCTTAGCTCCTTCAGTTTTTCATGGAGCATTTTCAACTATCTATTGTATGAATGGTTCATTCATCATCTGTCTTCTATGTGGTTGTTCATTGAAATATTAAGTAAGTGTAATGATCTTGCAGCTACATCTTGTTAGGGAATATTTCATACTAATAATGTTCAGTTTCTTTCTTATTCCATGACTGACATTGTACTCTGATGTGATGGTCTTCCTGTATCATGAACAGATATTCCATTATTTGGATTTTTCCACTTTCTGGTCTTTAGCTTATTGGCAGATGTTCTTTGACCCCATCCTGTGCACGCGGAGTTAACTACCTACAGGGAAAATTGCTATGGAGAGTTCCTCTTTTGTTGTAATTTTACTGTTACAAGACTCATTGGATGCACCCTTTGGTTGGAAATAGGGCAGGGATGTTTACCTGGAAGTGTTGTTCCATTCCCGGTGGTTGTGATCAGTTTTGCGTCTTCATGGGATTCAGATGTGGGATGATTCATCCTTGCATCTGCTTGTTCTGTTACGTATTTCACATAAGAATTTCTCACATTACTGTACTGCTTGACTTATTGTCTGCCAAACCTTGAAACATACAGGCCATTTGAGCAGCCTTTAAATTCCTTTTACCTTTGAAACATTTGCACCATGCAGGATGTTCATTTGACAGTACTTTTCTGCATTACCACATGTATTGGGTGAAGAATATTTCCTGCCTAAGATAAATATGATCTTTCACTGAGTGTTGTTTCCTGTAATGTGTAACACACACTCCATCTGTTTTCTCTTTTTGTTACTATATTTTGCATAAAGAAGCACATCTTTTAAATTTATTTATGTACACCAGTCCATCCACTATCTTTTCAATGTGGATTCTAGCTATCTGTTCGGTGGAGAAGTGAGTAGTATTTCTGAAGTTAACAGAGTCCTTACCTGAAAACGTGGTTCAAGATAGATACTCACAGAACCATACACTTTTCTTGCATACTTCTAGTGACCATTTGGTATATTCAATGTGCTCAAGGGAGTACTGTGCATAGAGGATGTGTCACTCTCCTATTGGTGAAAAGGTGTAATGTAATGCTTATTGCATCATAGACTGGTGCAGTACATTTTATTATATGTAGGGGTGTTAATTTAATTTAAAGGCTTGGTGCATGTATCTATTTGATATACAATCTCTGGTAAGAAAAATAATAATTTTACATGCTTTAAGTTTCCTTTGGGGGGGGATTAGTACTTTTGCATCCTCCTTATTTGCATGTTGGATTCAACTGGTGTTTTGGGTGATTTCAAGAGTAGAGTGAGCTAATGAATCTTGATTAGTGTATATGGAGCACCCTTATTGGTTTTTACATGATATCAAAAAGATAATGTCATTTAAATGCAGAGTTCTGTGTAAAGGGTACCCAAAACAACCATCTTATACTCTATGTTTTAGTGTATGAGGATTTTGAGAATATTTTAAAATTTATAAAAACTGTGAAAATTGAAACTGCTAATAGTATTTATTATAGAGGTATGCTCTCAGTGCTAGAGTCATGCAAGGGCTGGTGAGGCTACAGCCCTGAATGCTCAAATATACATTAGACCCTGTGCCTAGAGTAGGCTTAATACAGCCCTGTATGTACTTATAATATTTCTTGAGCATTTCACTTTAAATTGTATTATTGTTTTGAAATCATGAGAAGTACTGAGTTTATAAATAAAGTAAGTTTCAGAAAAATGTAACCATTGATATAGATATAATTATTATTATCTAGTAACTGTTAGACGAGGTATTTAAGAATTCATTTACAATCTTTTTAAGATTTTTTTTTCAGAGTGGATGATCTGTACAGATTTTTCCAACACTGGACACCAGAGAAATATGGAGATGCTTCTAAACCAGAGGATTTTGGTTTTGACCCAATCAATTCTGATGAAGAAGACTTTCAAGAAGAAGTTGATTCCAAAGCCAAGGGTAAAAGACAGCCTAGGATTTTGAGTTTGTTGAGACTAGTGTCAAGACAATATAGCTCTGAATTGAGCCCATCAGATTGGGAGGTAATATTTTTGTTTTATTTGTAAGTATAACTTTCAAAGATATTGAATATTTTTGTCAAATGCTAAAGTGTAATTTTATTAAAATAAACATATATATATATATATATTTTATTCGCTGACTACTTCTAGCTTATTTTAAATTCATCTCGTTCTGTGCCTTACATAATAATCAAGGAAAAATTTCAATAACATTGCAATGTGGATTATGAAAGCCATGTAAGATGCTCAAGGCTTCTAAACATTTTCATAATAAGGTATAATTTGAATTTTCAAATATTAGGCAAATAAACTGTTTTTGAGGCTGTGCATTTCTGTAATTTTGAATTTGTTTTTCAGTTTAAATTCTAACATAAAATGGGTTTTATTCACTCAGTTATTTATCCCTGTGAAGAATGATTGTGTGAAACCAAAATGAAATTTTGATTCATTGTGATAAACTCTTATCACGCCATCTAGAAGACATTACTTACTTAGTTAGGTTTCTTCAGAGAAAAGAATTTGTTATTTTGACGAAGTTGGTTTTGATTTAAAGAAACTTCTTTCTTTCTCTCACAGTTCTGCACATGAGTTAAAAATCTAGGAGCTGATCAAATTAGGGACAATTTTTTACCAAACACATCGCTAGTTTTCTTTCTCTCGCAGTTCTGCACATGAGTTAAACATTTAGGAGCTGATCAAATTAGGGACAATTTTTATACCAAACACATCGCTAGTTTTCTTTCTCTCTCAGTTCTGCATATGAGTTAAAAATCTAGGAGCTGATCAAATTAGGGACAATTTTTATACCAAACACATCGCTAGTTTTCTTTCTCTCACAGTTCTGCATACAAGTTAAAAATCTAGGAGCTGATCAAATTATGGACAATTTTTATACCAAACACATCGCTAGTTTTCTGTCTCTTGCAGTTCTGCATACAAGTTAAAAATCTAGGAGCTGATTAAATTATGGACAATTTTTATACCAAACACATCGCTAGTTTTCTTTCTCTTGCAGTTCTGCATACAAGTTAAAAATCTAGGAGCTGATCAAATTAGGGACAATTTTTATACCAAACACATCGCTAGTTTTCTTTCTCTCTCAGTTCTGCATATGAGTTAAAAATCTAGGAGCTGATCAAATTATGGACAATTTTTATACCAAACACATCGCTAGTTTTCTTTTTCTCTCAGTTCTGCATATGAGTTAAAAATCTAGGAGCTGATCAAATTATGGACAATTTTTATACCAAACACATCGCTAGTTTTCTTTCTCTCGCAGTTCTGCACATGAGTTAAAAATCTAGGAGCTGATCAAATTAGGGACAATTTTTATACCAAACACATCGCTAGTTTTCTTTCTCTCACAGTTCTGCACATGATCTTTTTTCTATTAATTAAACTGTAACCTAACATGATTATTAGTTCTGCTGGTTTATGATGCTTCCCCATCTTTTGACGTTTAAACTAACTTTAGTAATAAAATCTACTTGCATCCCAATATACACTGATTCTAATGCACATTAATACTAAATGACAAGTAACTTAAGAGTCTTTTTAGATAAGCTTTCATAATATAACTTTTTTTTTTAAGATTGTGTCAATGAGCAATTTGGAAAGTTCACCGTATCTAGACCCTTTTGAATTACCATTTCCAGAATTGCGGGAAGAAAGTGAGATCCTGACAGAAGAACATTGTAGAGAGGTCAGTAGAACTTTACTTATATTTTTCTTGAGGTTATTAAACAGATTTATTTTATAAAAGTAGTGTTTAATAAAAAAAAATACTGGTATACAGATATTTTTTGTATAATATAATTTGCATTCATTTAAATGTTATATTTTTACAGAAAGTAGCAAAAATGAAATGAAGAATGCATATAAATAATAAAAAACAGTTTAATTTATTTTTTTATAACACAATAACGGCCATAGTTAAGCATTTAGGACTGTATTGTAGCTTAGTAGTTAACATGCCTGGACTGTGAATTCAAGGGTTCTTTTTTTGCATTCCTATTGCTGTAAAAATGCTTTCTGCACTTTGGAATCTTGGATACACTTTAAGAAAGTAAAATTTAGTGAGATAAGAGTTGCTATCCCTTGATCTATTAAATAATTTTTGCATAATGTTTATTTATGGTACATATATAAATATCATACCCTGTATAACTATGAGTCTTATTGCTGATCATAACCTTTTACATTTTTCATATGTGTTCAGTGTACTTTAATTCCCAGATGAAGTAGACATAGTAATTAAAATTAATTGTGGAAAGAAACGTTATTGACTTATTTTGTTTCAAGTCATACACTTCATTATGTGTGTGTGTATGTATATATATATTCCAGTTAGCAAAGCACCTTCCACATCGGGTAGAGGGCTGCCCCTGGATTCTTATATATTCCTCATTTAAACATGGATTCAGCCTAAAGACATTGTATCGAGAAATGGCAAAGTTTGAAACACCAGTTATCTTGGCTGTTATCGACAGTGAAGGAACTGTGAGTAAAAGAGAGAGTTTTAGTCAGTAAAAATGTTGTTTTCCAATTATGCTTTCTTATGGATAAAAGGCTTGAAGAAAGTTGACAATAGCATACATTCTATAAACTGTTTGCCTGCTTATTTTGTACTGTTTTAAAATTGTATTGGAACATCTATTAACAGGTGTACACCATGTTAAAAAAACTTATTTTATTTGCAAGCATTTGATCTTATTCTCAGTCTAACCAAACAGTGTGCAGAATCTAGATATTTGAAGAATGACACTTAGTGATTATATTAGTAAAAGTTTTCTTTAGTTTTGTGTTCTAAAGACTACTGTTGTTGACTTCTACAAAGAATGTAATATTTTATGTTTTTCATATGGAATTGTGTGCATTCTGTTTTCAAGCTTAAATATTTTAATCTTTAGAGTTTGTAAGTAACAATTTTCTAAGATGCTTAGGTACAACTGACTTAGTGCTTAAGGAAAGTTCCGTATTTGTTTCCTATGTTATAGTATACTTTAAGATTAGGAACTGAAGAAACAGTGTATCACTCTTGCCCTGTCTAATGTTGCCCCCTGGTGGCTCAGTGGTAAGTCTAAGGGCTTATGATGCTAAAAATTCGGTCTTGATACAATTGATGGGCATAGCACATTTTGTAGATATGCACTTAACAAATAAACAATCTAGTGTTTGATATTATTGAGATGTCTTTTTTTTATTTTCTTAATGTGTTATGTAAAGTTGATGTTCTTTAGTGCTAAGTAATTGGTGAATATTTACATTTATTTGGTTTTGAGCAAATTCATCAAATACTCAAAGAATTAATATTAATTTCATAGGTTGTTTTTTTAATAGCATTGTTTTTTCATCATGGCTCATGCCTTTTTTACTGAAGAAGATTTCATAAGCTAACTAACCTTAACTTTAATAATGGCTGGAGACGGCTTAAACCTTAACTTTCATTTGATTTCTTTAATTTTATTAATATTTAACATTTAATATAAATCATGTGATATACAGCATCAGTTTGTCTATAAAGACGTTTTTTTTAAGTAAGAGTTTTTTTTTTCTGTTTGTTTTTATGAGATTACTCCTTCACTGTGCATTTACTGAGTTGATGTTAAGCCTTTTATTTTTTCTACTACCTAGTGGATTTTATATCAGCAAAGGTGGTAGCACTGAATTGTCTTTTCTCAGTATTTACTAAAAAATTTTTTTATTATATTAAGATGTTTGAACTTTATGCAAATATATCTGTTACCCAAAATGTCTTAAAAAAACTCATCTCCAGGTGTTTGGTGCCTTGACATCGTGTTCATTGAAAATAAGTGAGCATTTTTATGGAACAGGAGAGTCTTTTCTGTTTAGGTTTTCTCCCTCCTTCCAAGTAAGTCTAATGCATTGGACAAGGTAGAGTTGATAAATCTAGCAGTTTAATAACAAAGATTGTCACCTTAGTTTTTATTTTGTTAGTTAGTTTTAGTAAAATTTTGCATTTCTGAAGCCAAACTTTTCAAATACGTTAATTCCCCAAAAAAACATACTGTGCTTAATCATGTTGTTTTGAATTTTTATAACCTGCATCTTATGAAAATAAAATATAATTTACTTTTTATTCAGTAACTGTTTTGAAATAACTAGCTGTTCATATTGAGAGTAAAAATTAATTTTACTGGGGTTTGTCTCTCATATGACTAAAAACTGCATGCTGGTAACTTTAAGACTTATAACACTAAAAATCTAGGTTTGATACCCACAGACAGCTAGTGTAGTTTTGTGTTTATAAACAAATTTAAAACTAGCAGCTAAACAAACCCTTTATAAAAGGTAAAGTTTGTTTTTTAAAGTGCCACTTACCAGAATATAGATATTGTAGTGTTAAAGAATTCTAACATGTTATGACATAACTAAAATTGATAAAAAAAATTACGTTTTCCCAATGTAATCTAGTTCACATTATAACGGTTCTAAAGCACTTTACTAATATAATTAGCATCTCAACCATAACTATTGTCTGAGGACTTATAATGCTAAAAGTTGAGTTTAAATACCTATGATGGGCTCAGCACATTGTGCTTAACTAACAAAAACTAGTATGTGCCGTATTGTAACAGACCTTAAGAGCCCACGAATTGGGCTAAAGGTCGTTTTGGCACTGGATAAAGCAGATATTTTGTGGTTAATGTATTATTATTATACACACTTCTCTACTATCTTATTAACAATTATATATATATTTATAAATATTTCCACTACATTTTTTTTCCAATTATTTTAGCACTACTACTGGACTGAGAAAAACACTTATTTCATTAAAGGAGACAAGGACAGTCTTGCATTTGGAGCAGGAAGGTATGTGACATTCATTAAATATCGAGCCTGAGGAGAGTTGATAGTAGTTGCTTATATCCAAGAGTTAAACAGTGTCATATCCCTAACTGTTACATATACCTTGAAATTGTAGACAACCTTCCAAAGATCTCACAATTTATACAGCTCTTTAAATAGTGTCGACTAAGAAAATATGAATATAGTTTTGTTTTTTTTTTTTGCTTTGAGATTCATACCATAAATAGATTAAACCTTTTTCTGTAATCCACTTCGTCAAAAATGTACCCATTTAAAAGCTTGTAAAATATTCCTTTTATTTTTTCACTGCTTTTTCTAAATCATCATTTTTCAGTGGCCAGTTTGGTTTGTGGCTGGATGGAGACTTATTTCATGGACGAAGTCACAATTGTGAAACTTTTGAAAATGACACACTTTCTACTCATGAAGACTTTGTTGTAAAAGGAATTGAAGCTTGGGGTTTTGAAGGTATCTAAATATATACCTATGTACATCAGTATATATATATATTACCAGTTGTGAATTTAATCAATTTGTAACCAAGTATACAAAATAATGTTGCTTAATATTTTGAATTTAACACTTCGATTTTGTAACATATTTTTCAGTGAAATTTAAAAACAAATATTCATCACATTTATACTTTATTTCCATTTTTATGTTAATGCATGCAGCCTACAGTTACTCTTGTACAATATGTAAAAATAGTTATTGTACAGTGGTCTGTAATTACCTTGTGCTGTTTAAACTTCATTTTATAGTTACATTCTGTATGTGTTAAATTGTTTAAAAAAACAAACGAATATGACACAGGTACTGTAAGTAATTACATCTAGGACTGTTAAGACTGCTCATGGTCATGTTGAAACTAATGACTATATGCAAGTTTGTTGATAATATATTAGCCATTAATTGAAAATTAAAAAAAAACTCGAACAAAAAAAAGTGTATTTGACTTTCTGTTAATAACTTCCTAGATAATTGATACCAGCGGTACTTGGTAAAACTCCATTATTACAGAATTGAGGAAAACAACCTGATGTGAAACCATGGTCGTTAATAAGTGAAGTTTTTTATGAAACATACAATTTTTTTTTTTTCTCAATTCTCTAACTTCCTAGATGTTATGTATTTCTCATCTTGTTTTATATTAGTTATTTAAGTGCTACAGAAGTTTGGCTCCAACTGTCCTTTCTGCAGTTGTGGAGACATTACCTATTTGTTTGTCCTGAAAATGTTCTTAAGAAAAACATTATTGGTGCATTTGTTTTATGAAATAACTGAGTATACAAAAAAAAAGAAGATTAGGGTATTACTCCTTTTTTCCCTCAGGAAGAGTTTATTTTTCTATAACACTTATTCAAAAAACAATTAAATAAAGTTCATAAATAATAAAGCAAGTTGAAAGAAGAATGCACAAAGGTACAAGACAATGTACACAGCGGAAGAATAATGGCTTTCGAGTCAGTATAAGCTTAGAATTAAAAAAGGTATGATAGATTTTTTTCTTCTTATTCTTGTATATGCTGTATAAATAGTATATTTTTATAGAAAAATATATTTCCAATAAGCAGATTAAATTTCCATGGCTCTTACAAAAGTTTACAAAACTCTCATATTAAGTAACATCTATACGATAATGATTTTGGCATCTTTATAGACAGCTGAATGTGCTACATCAGTGATAGATGTGGCGAAGAGGGAGAGATTTTTGTGCAGGAGATAATTACTTTTTTAAAACACGTATTAAATACAGTCATCAAACCACATTGTACTACAAATTTTGGGATGCTCATATTGAAAAGGAAGAGGGGGATTAGTTTACACAATATCCATGTGAATGCCCTCTAGAGAAATTAAATACAGTATAAAATTTGCAAAAGAAAACGAATAAATGTATTTCCAATTATGCTGAAATGCACGAGCAAAAAGAAACTTCTGGAAAATATGAGAATTCACCAGTAATTTCAAGGTGTTTTGAATAAGCAGGAAAAAAAAAAAAGAGGATAGAGAGTGATTTATACACAATATTCATGATTCAAAATCTTTTATATACTTTTCAAAACTGGTTAAATGTTAAATAATTTATGTTTTGGAGTGTTGCAGTATTCAGTGTAAAGAAAAGTGAAATCACCCATTTTCCATGTAAAATATATGAAGGAAATTCCAGCAGTAATTAGTGGGATTAACTGTATAAATAGTTTAGAGAAGTGTGTTTACAAATCCAATAGTTTCACAACCTCCACTGGTAGTTCTAGGGTTAAAGAAAAATGTCTCGGTGCCCTATATAAGCTGCAATGAAGAAGAATAGCAAAAAAATGTCGCAAATTTGTTTTAAACAAAATCGTGAAAGTATCTTGGATGAGATGATTTAAGAAAACGAAAATCACTTAAAAAAATAATATTCACAAACATTTTCGCAGGTGCACTAATTGAAATTAATTGATTAAAACCTTACTTAATTACTAATTTTAGAATTTGTAGCCTAATGAACAAATGTAAAATGTATCACTGATACAGTTTACAAGTAGAACATTTGTGTAGCTTTCATTTCAAAATTGAGGCAAGGCAATATACATTTAGGTAAATATTCTGCTCTTAAAAACAAATCATTTTAAGTTTACAATAACGTGTAACAGTTTTTCTTATCATAAACAACAAACTTGATGGAACAGTTGTAAACTAATTGTTTCAAGGAGGAGGATTTTTGACAGAAAACATTACTGTATCTTTTAAGATTGCTATTTTGTAAGTATAAATTACATTCATTATTTAATTTGTCAAGAGTACAATTTGTGTTGATAATTACCATTGACAATTATATAAAATATTTTAACTTTGAGGAGGAGTGGGTTATTGACTATTAAAAACAAACCTTCAGTGACAAAAATGTTGTACAATAATATTAGGCTAACATTATTATGGCAATGATATATAAAGTTATAAATACTAAAGAATTGGAAATAAAAAGATATTGGAAAGTTATAAATTTGTGTTTACATTGTTTAATAATGATAAAAGAACACTATCATATATAGCAGTAAACGGAACAAACTGTCAGAAGTCTGATATTAGAGAAACTAGTTTTGACACATTCGTGCATCCTCTTCAGTCTCACTTTGTCTTATTCCATTTTTTGCTAGTTAGCCAAAGCAAAAATTTAAATACACTGGTGACCTTGACCTTAAGATTTAACCTCATAATTTTACATGATTTCTCTTTATAAAGTCTGGTAAGAAATTGTTATTATATAGTTATTATATCAAATAGAAAATTTCAAACATTTATGATAAATGTTATGTTTAAAAGCAAGTTTTATATTGCATGCTAACTATAAATGATTTGAAAGTTTTAATTTACTAATTTCTACTAGTTACTTCCACAAAAATTACAAAATAATTCAGTTTAATAGGAACATCTTAAAATTCCCAAAGTCCATTCATGAAATTTATTGAAAACATTTAAAACAATACAAGGGTGGTGTTTTTTTTTAAGAAAAGTAACTGATACACAATCACAACTCTCCCAGGAACTGAAGTCTCCATTGTTCAAGTGGAATATTTCTGAAAACAACTGTAAATGCTAGGTCCTCTTCTATCTGTGATGACTTCAAACAGAAAAGCTGTTGAGAAACTATCTTCTAATCACAGCTCATCTGCAAATTTCATGCAGAACTCGTTTAAACTCGTTGATAATAGTATTACAGACTGGTTACAGTAGAACTAGTTAGAATTTACTAAGACATTGCAATAAGGTATCTCTAAGAGTTGGTCGAAGTTTGGAGTTTCCAGCACAGTAGATGTGAGTTGAATGTTCTTCCACCTGGATCAAAGTATCTTCTGTTTGCTATGGTATATAAAAAATAATAAAACTGGCATCAGTCACATGGTCAATGCTTTGGTCAGAAAAGTAAATGTTAAATGATAACATTTACAATAAAGAACAAATGACTGGGGTCACCTGTTTCAAACTATACTGCCCAATTTTAATGGTGTAAAAATCGAATTTCACATAAGAATGTCCTTAATCTCGGTGCACAGCAAGCACTTGAAGTTTTAATAATACACCAAATTTGGTCTTAAAAACTATAATGATTTTGGCTCTTTTGTATGCACAGTTAAGACTTAGGTCTGTTAACTGACCATGAATAAAATGAGGGTTTTCTTTCTTTGGCCTTGATCATTTTTACATTGGAGTAATGTTCTGTCATAGACTCAAAAAGCATGTCACCTCAATATTGACTTTCCATAAACTTAACCACATAGGACCAACCTAATCCAAGATATTACTGGGTTTATAGCCAAAAATGTCATTAATAGCAAGGGTACCCAACTAATGAAGCAATGCAATCTATTCTGTAATAAGTTAGAAAAGTACCTACACTCATTCATACCAGGTTGAATTTAAGTATTGATCTAAGTAGATAGCTTGCCCTGATTGGAAATTAATGTTAATTTATACAAATCTAGAATTCAAGACCTATAAAGTTAGTAAGATTTAAAATAAACATTAAACGTAAGGAATGATATTTATAAACTCAGTTGTAAAACATGTCACTTTGAACTTTTGTGTGACATCCATTAAACTTATCATTACCAAAGGACGTGATGAAATATCACTAAAATTCACAGAAGATGGAGACTTTCTTATAAAAAAAATTGGTATAATACCATGAATTTAAACATCCATGACTGTACTCCCTTACGAATATTTCTATACTATTAAATAATATATAAGAACTTATTTATCTGTTAATTTTTTCTTCACCAAAATGTGAATTTCAGTGAAGAAATGACATAGAGGCCTATTCTATTCTTTGATTCACTACTCCCACTGTTAATGTCTTTTTGACAAAGATCACAAATGCCTGTCCTTCATGTCTACTTTCCTGATGAAATGATAACAGACCAACAGCTTTTCCATATACTATACATACATTTTTAATTGCTTTGGTATCAGATCACTATCAATGGTAGATTACACCATTTTGGCAAACTGTTGCACAGCTGAATAATGCAATGACCTTAGCTGATTCGACCCCAAAGTGGCCATCATAGTTTCTATACTATAACTTTTAACAAGTTTTGTGTATCTTCATGAAATTTTGCAAGCTTTCAGTAAACATTACAGTCTTTTGTACAAAAGAAGATTTTCTTGTTAAGTATTTTTAATAAAAATTTCTCTGTGAATAAATGAAGTAAAAGAGTTGACTGCTCCAAGTTCAAAGTAATTTTCATGTTAAGATTAAAAAAAACTTTTCTTCATTTGAAAATTGTTGAATTCCATTTGTCTAATCTCTAAAACCTTCTAAATAAATATTACTTTTTTCAGTAAAAATTTATATTCTATGTGTCATTTTCTCTACCCTAACTCTACACGCAATTGGTCAATTTGACTGACCTCGTAACCAACATAAAAAATATAAAATAAGTCTAAATTACCCTTTTTTTTTCTTTCTAGAATGACTGCAAATTTTAACAGGAAACTAGTTTATCCTAAAAAGCATAAAGCTCATAACATTACATATGTGTTTCTATTTAAGTTTATTATTTTATTGCCCTTTGAACCATGTCTAACTAATAATCTTGCCAGACTCGGCAAACATGTAGCTCATGTTACTGTATCAAAATACATAATGCATGCTCACGAGCATACCTTGAGAAGAATTTTTTATTTTTTTTCTTTATCTTACCTAATAAATTTTTACATTCTAGTTACTTTTAGAATAAAAAATACACAAGAAATGTAGTACTGACCTGGGTCTTGTTTGTTGCTGTCTCCTGTTGATGATACTTGAGCCCACTTTTTTACTTATTGTACTAATACACTAAATAATTTTTATTGAATTAAATAATGCACCTAAAAACACAGAATAATAACAAGCACAAAGCACACAATGTCCTATAATTATATTTTTCTGCTTTCTAAATATGCAATAGAGCCTTTAAAAATTCAACTAAGCTTGTCGATGCGACTCCCATGAGAATAAGGTGGAGGTGACATAGGCAATATAAAATGTCACTAGACAGATTAAAACTTTAGCTATAAATAATATAGTATAAAATGTCAGAGAGAACTACTGGCAACTTGTAAAAGGTGGGTGTGACAAGTGGGTCTGATTTTATAGTTTATGGTCTCTGTAGACAAATACAATTGAAGGCTTTAA